GCAGAGCTGCTCCAAAGAATCTACAGATAAGCTTTCGTCCACAGGTCAGTTTGACATATGACAGATGCTTTAAGAGGCTCCATTTTTAATCACTATTTTTCTGTTTGTGTAAAGCAAAAGAAGAGCTTCCTTCAGAGCAAACACACTCAGAGGCCGCAGAGGATGAGAATGAGGATTTGGAGCTTCAAAGAGCTTTTGAAGAAATGAGAAGACTTGATGAGGTTCTGTCTGCAGAAATCTCCAAGGAAAAAGAAATCAGGCGTCAAAGGAAAGAGCTTCAAGCTGAACTCTGGCAAGGACTCCTGGTAGATACTATTTTATTACTTGCATAGATAAGTCAAAAGACAGTCTCTCATTATTTACTTACTGTTGTGTGTTTTTGTGGGATGTTGCAGAAAGAAACGAGCCACTCTGCATGTGCTTTTGAAGCTTTGAACACAAAGCATTTTTTGGCTTTAGAAGCTCACACAGGTACGTATAGGTAAATAAAGGTTGAATGAATGAATGAAAAAACTTTATGTCTAAACAATATTCTTAAAGAGTGTAAATCTACACAGAATGCACAAATGGTGCACCCCACCAAACCACCAAAAATGGTACAGTTTCTTAATGTCAACATTTAATGTTTCCCATGTTCTATTTTGAAGATATCTTGGGTTTAAGAGACTTGCAAACCATTGCGTTTATTTTTTGTTTCCATTTTACATTCCATTTATTTGAAATGTGGATTATCATTTCTATACATTAAATATGTTTTGTTACCCTAAAGGGACAGCAGAAGAAAACTTTGCACGCCTCTTTGAAACTCAGGTTCCTGACTGTGAGCAGGATGAAGACAACCTGTGCTTTGAGCAAAGTGAGTTTGAAAACCATCTAAAACAAAGAAAAAAACATGAGCTTTTCACTAGATGGCACCATAAGCTCAGGAAAGATTTGATTTCCCTCCCTGTTACAAATAGAAGTGCAGCTTGGAACTATACAGAGATGAACAACTTTGCCCTTTTGTTACCGATTTCCCAAAGAAAAGACACAATCTTCCACGTTTTCCTAAGAACAGAAGCTCAGAAATGTGACAAATTCTGCCTTTTTGCACCTCATTGTTAGCATTAGCCTCTTATTATACAGACACATTACCTTATTGGTCCTTGTCATTGTTTTATTTATGAGCATACTGTGTGTGTGTGATGCTTGGCAGGTGAAAACAGACCAGACAGCTCCACTGAATCAATAGAAGTCACTGGTGAAGACGCTGAAGACGACCTGCTTAAAGGCAGTAAATGTTTCAAAAGCAAGAATAAGCAGAAAAACTTCATCAGGAGGAACATTGAGGTGTGTTAGAGTTCAGAATGCAAAAATGCAGTCTTTCATTTTATTTCCAGTGTGGAAAATGTGCTCCAGTCGTCTTTTTTTATCAATCATAAACCTAGTAGACTAAGAAGGATGCAGACTGTGCAAATAATAATTTTTTTCTAACCTTTCTCTCTTATTTTTGTGTAAAACAATAGCTAGTAAGTGGTGAGGTGGGCCAAGTGCGTTTGACCCCTGCAGAGAAAGAGCGTCTGACTAATCTCCTCCGGGAATTAGATGAAGAGGAAGAGGACAGCGCTGAAGGCGCAGACAGAGAGGTAGGCTCACATCAAGGCTGCAGCTGATTCCACCTCTGCCTCATTTAGAAATAGCTTTTAAGGGAAAGCTACATATAAATCTCATATTTACTGCAAGTAGAATATATTTTTCTTTGCCTTTATAATAAGAAACTATTATGTTTTTCAATCCAAATTACTATCAGATCACTCCCCAAATCAGTGGTTCTAAGCCCTAGTCCTTGAGGAACACCATCCTGCATGTTTTAGTTGCTTCCCTGCTTTGGCACACCTGATTTGAATGAATGGGTGATTAACAGGCTTCTGCAGAATCAGGTGTGTTGGAGCAGGAGACAACTAAAACCTGCAGGTATGTTTTTTGAGGATCATTGTTGGGAACAATGTTGTGAGTAAGAGATTGGGGGCCCGTTGTTACAGGCTGTTCGGTCCCTATACAAGCGGTGCAAGAGTTTGGTTCACATTGCCAGTAGTAAGTCGGATCCCTTCAGAGTGGGAGTTGGACTCTACCAGTGCTGCCCATTGTCATGATTCTATTCATAAGTTTTATGGACAGAATTTCTCGGTGCAGCCAGGGGATGGAGGGATTCCTTCTCTGCTCTTTGCAGATGATGTGGTCCTGTTGGCGTCATCGTGCCGTGATCTTCAGCTCTAACTGGAGCAGTTCAAAGCCGAGTGTGAAGCGGCTGGGATGAGAATCAGCTCCTCCAAATCTGAGGCTATAGTCCTCAGTCGGGAAAGGGTTGATTGCTCTTTTAGGGTAGAGGGTGAGGTTCTGCTTCAAGTGGAGGAGTTCAAGTATCTCGGGGTTTTGTTCACGAGTGAGGGAAGAATGGAGCGTGAGATTGACAGACGGATTGGTGCAATATCTGCAGTATTACGGACTATGTACCGGTCCGTTGTGGTGAAGAGGGAGCTGAGCTGTAAGGCAAAACTCTCTGTTTAATAATAATAATAATAATAATAATAATAATAATAATAATAATTTGTTATGTGTTGTCATTGTATGTTCCCATCCAATGGCGAAATTGGTTCTCTGCATTTAACCCATCACACCTGAGATGCACTCAGGTGGAGCCGTGGGGGTGCCCGGGGAGCAAATGGGGATAGGGTGGCCTGCTCAGAGACAACACAAGATGTGCAATGACTGGGGATCGAACCTGGGATTTTCAGGTCCCAGGTCAGCTGCCCTTCCTCTACCCCATCGTGGCCCCCCAGTTTACCGGTCAGTCTACATTCCTACCCTCACCTATGGTCATGAACTCTGGATAGTGACTGAAAGAATGAGATTGCGGACACAGGCAGTTGAATGAGTTTCCTAGAGATTGGGTGAGAAATTCAGTTTTCCGGGAGAGACTCAGAGTAGAACCGCTACTCCTCCACATCGAGAGGAGCCAGCTGAGGTGGTTCGGGCATCTGGTAAGGATGCTCCCTGGGCGCCTCCCTAGGGAGGTGCTTCGGGCATGTCTGACTGGGAGGAGATCCCGTGGAAGACCCAGAACATGCTGGAGAGACTACGTCCCTCGCTTGGTCTGGGAACGCCTTGGAATCCTCTCAGAAGCGCTGGAAGAGGTGGCTGTGGAAAGAGATGTCTGGGCTTCCCTGCTCAAACTGCTGCCCCTGCGACCTGACTTCGGAACAAGCGGAAGATAATGAATGGATGGATGAATTGAAAGGGTGTTGGGAACCACTACCCTAAATATCTGAGCTAGTATTTGTCTTCCAGAATGACCCTTAAAATAGCAGTGGTTAGATATTTTTGTTTTGATGACTGCTTGGCAGATTAGACTCTCTGGCTGGAAGATTCCGACTCCTCAAAGCATTTCAGGTTATAAATCAGATGTCAGATGCCAAATGGGTTTTGCTTGGAACTCTATGCACGTTCTGGATTTATTTTAATATTTACTTCCCTCAATGAACCCCTCTCCCATTTTTCAGTAAAAACCAGAATTGAGAATCTTTGAAATTGTTGCGCAACAAGCTACAGCTGCAGTCATATTAAGGGCGTGCTGATGGAGGCTAAAGCTGGGAGAAAGAGACCTTTTGTTTCCCTTAAGGGATCATCTCAGACCACAACACCTGGAGCAGTCCCATATTTCACCTTGTACACATGCCTGCCATACTGACTTCACCTTTGTGTTGTTGTTGTCACATTAAATTAGCCTTAATAACCCCATTGGCAGCTGTGAAGAAGCCAGATTTGGCTCAGTTTGTTTGAAAGAGGGGGAAACATCCTCACCTTTAACATGCGGTTCTGTTTAATTTGACCCAGTCTGCTCTGCTTTGGTAGAGCAACTTGCCAAGGGTTTTATTAACGTCTCACTGCTTCTTTTATGATGTTTTTCTTTAACTTTTAGAACAATACTGCTGTGATTATGATGGCAGACACTAAAACTACAAATTCTGTTTTATTTTATTTACTTTTGAGCCTGAAGAGAAATTTCCTGTTATTGCGAGGCGGTACTATGAACGGCCATGATGGCGCAAGCACATTGTTTATGTCCCCAGTTTTGGCAGCGAGGCGTCTTCACTTCTTAGGACTTCTCGCTGTTCTTGGCAGAATCCCTTGGGACACATTTATCAAAAGCTGCTGCTCACGTCTTCCATCAGATCTTTCTTTTTTTAAGTGTTACAGGCCATCGTCTGAACAACTTCCACATTTCGGGGTAGCTATGGCAACTGGAGCAACAGAGCAGCTGTCAGCAAGCAGCTGTTGTGTCGTTGTTTAAGATTGTTTTCGTTATAATAATACTAATAAATTATTAATATGGCTTTAATTATGCCATTTTAAAACTAAAAGTAATGAAAAAGCTTACAGTTTAATATATTTGATCATTTGACTTTTAGATCATACTAATAATTTTTATGATTTCAATAATACCACTTTTATAGGTCGAGTGGTGGCGCAGAGGTTAGATAAGGTGGGCCTGTGATTGGAAGGTTGCCGGTTCAACTCCCTGGACTGACAACATCAAAATGTGGGTAGGAAAGGTGAATCACCCACACCTGCCTCCACCCTCATTTGCCGTACTCTGGGCCCTTGAGCAAGGCCCTTAACTCCCATCATCTGCTCCCCCATGTGCCCTAGATGGCAGCTCTCTGCTCAACGAGCAAAGCTTTTAAGTGCAGGTGTCCACAGTCTTTGGCCTCTACGGTCATGGTTCTGACTCCAGAGCAATTGGACTGATCACCCTGATTACAGACACGCAGGCCTCACACACACAAGAAAACAACCACAACCGCTGGCCTCCTCAGCGAAGGCTTAGAGGACGAGTGCATTCCTGCCAGCCGGACAGCCTGGGTTGAAATCCCTTCTCAGTCAGGTCAAACATTGAACAAGTTGGAGAAACGATGTTGATCCAGGTCCTCTGGACGGATTCTTCTTCGTTGAAACGTTTCGCCTTTTATCCAAAAGACTTCTGTATAAAAGACGAAATGTTTCAACAAAGAAGAATCCGTCCACAGGACCTAACTCAACCTGCTTAGACCTGGATTATTGAGCATCTTAAATAACATTATTGATTATATTAGTATTTAATTTTCCATAATTTTCACTGCCCTGATTACTTCATCCTATTACAGCCATTGATTGAACTTTCTAATTGTTTATCACCACCAGGGGATGATGCTGATTCCTGTTTCTCGTGGAGCTTCTGCATTGGTTTCACATGCTTTTAGGCCTAAATTTCAGCTGTTCAAATACTTCTGAGGCATGCTCATCAGCAGCATCAGCCGATGACATCATGCATTTCAATGCACACACATCGTGTCTTGTCTTCATTATATTTTTACTTTTATGTTTAGCAAAGTCTTCCTGTCTGTCCTCCAGCATACAAAACTAAATAAGAACATGTTTTTAAATTATACAGATGAAATAGGTTTGTTTGGAGAACTGGAACTAAGTTGCTTGTGCCTGTGGGAGCATATGTTTGCTTGTCTGTTAGCAAAATATCTAACGAATAAATGAACAGATTTTTTTTTACTTTTTGAAAGTAACCATGGATGTACGTCTACAAATTAATTGGCCATCACAGCAAACTAGCTTTAGTGAACAGGAAATTGACTATACAATAGTCCCTCGCTACTTCGCGGTCCGTTTTTCATGGACTCGCTCTATCGCAGTTTTCAAAGTAAGATTGGACATGAGACACAATTGGCTGATTGATGGATGAGCCAAACGATGGGCATGGAGTTTTTATTTAAAATAAATTATTTTAAATTATTTAGCACCTGTGTGCAGCCCAAGCTGAAGGAGAAGCTTCCTCGCAGCTGATCAGCTGATCTCCGCCCTGCAGCGGAGAAGTGGGCGTGGCCAAGAGAGCTGACAGATGGCAGAGAGCTCAAATCATGACATTCTGTGCTCTTTTAGAGCATTTAGAGTTTAGAAACATTGTTCAGAATATTGCAAGAGTGTGGAAAGGCTTTAAAATGCCTTTAACGGGCTTCAGGGTACAGATCCCCCATGATAAATGAGGGACTACTATAATTCAGTGAATTTTTCAGAAATTGAACTACAATTCGATGCAGTAGTAGCTGAGAGGCCTTCACTGCACATCCTCTGAACACGTGCCAGAAAATATTGTAGGCTTTTAAGATTTGGGATTTGTCTAGTCCATCTCATCACTGAGCTTTCATGTTTTGCTGTTTGCTTCTGCCAGTTTTTAATTTTTTTAATTTTCCAGCACCCCCTTCTCCCCAGTGAGCTGAAGTTACAGCTGTGTTCTTTGTGGAGTTATGATCAGATTTGGCGTGGTGTATTCCTGCTAAATCTCATCTCACTTCTTTGTTGTGGTGAGCTCACCATGTACACAGTACTTCCCGTAGGAATTATGGGGAGTATCACAGAAAGTTAAAGACATCTGTCAAAAGCTGATTCGAAATGTGTCCAAAATACCACGAGCTAAAGACAGACTACACTCCTCTGATTCAGGCTTCACTGTCATAATATTATTGAGCATTGTAAGTAATTATCAGTCATCTTGTTTAGGTTGCCACAAAGTAAAGCAGTTTTGTACTTCAAGGACCACACAGTGATTTACTCTACTCATGTTTTTCCAGTCTTCGTGGGCTGCGTCAGTCTTTACAGATCATGTCTACACCCCAGAACCCTCTGATCTGGAGCAGCTGATAAAGATTGACTCTAAAATTTGCCTTCTTCCTGCTGATGACTTCAACTCCCTGCAAAGTTCTTACACAAGCTTAAGCACATCTCAGGTGAGCATCCAGAAGGGCTAACAAATGATAAATCTGGATATTTTTTATTATCTTTCTTTTTTTTTTTGCTTCATTGCTTTAGTTTTATTTTATATGTGATACTTTTTAGGCAGAAAGAAGAACACAGTCTCCAAAGCTGATGACCTAATTCATAATTTCAAATGAATTAACGAGGATTTTCACCTAAATTTATTGGTTTATAGCTAAAACAATTAGAAAACCTACTTTTAAGGAATGCAGCTTGATTTTAGTTAAAAATTTCATATGATATAAATGAGAGGAAAAGATTTCTTCTCCACTGGGATGGAGAAGAAACCGATTTTTCATCAAGAAATGCAAATAGCTCCTACAGTTCTTGATTTTGCACACCCTCTTTATCTTGTTCAGGGTCGCCGGGGTGTTGGGGTTCTGTTTTAAGAAGATAATTTGTTCAGACGCTCCTGAATGAATTTTTGTTACCTAATTTTCTTCCATTCCCACATTTACATCGTCTTCACCAGTCAAACGGGATTTTGGAACGGCAACATTTCTATCTTTTCTTCGTCTGTTCTTCATCAGTTATAAAACAACTTATGGACAGAACTTTTCCTCATACGCAAATTTCTAAAATAAGCCAGTTGGTGAACGCCACACCTGTTGTGGCACTGATTAAAAAAAAATTACAAATAAAAGGACCGCACACCAAGTCTCTCCCAGAAGTAGTTCACTTCAGGTCAGTAGCCATAAATCCTTAAAGAGGTCATAAAAGAAAATATGCTTTTGTCTCGCAGTTACCTTTTTTCTTGGTTGGAAGTTTAAGTTCTTAAAAGAAACCATTTGAACATCAGCTTAGGAACCAGTTTGTGTTCCTGCTTATTCCAGGTATCAATAAGTGCAAAAACTGCTATCATTTTTCTGCTCTAACATCTCAGATTCTTTTTCACCACTATAATAAACCATACCTAAGATTCCTAATTTTCCAGTCTCTCCTTTACTGTCTGTCTGGCTCAGATTGATCAAGAGTGTGCAACTCAACGCACCTTTTAAAGAATCTGACAGAACTTAAACTTACCGTATTTTCCGGCATATAAGTCGCAGTTTTTTCCATAGATTTGTCAGTCCTGCGAATTATACGCCAAAGCGACTTTTATATACGTTTTTTTTCCATATTCATTACTCAATTTTTGACAGATGTTTTAAATTTTGAAGCACTGCAACAGCGAGTCCTCCCGTGTGCGCTCTCATCACTCAGCTGGTGCAGGCGGAAGAACGCTGGAGAACTAGTGGCTCCAGCCTTGATGGATGGATGGCGCTGCACCGCCCTGGTGAAATGAAGCTGTTTGGACCATTAAATAAACGCATAGTAAACACGATGGGTCAGCGGTGACGCGTAATAAATGTGACTTATACATCAAAGTGACATATATGTTTTTTCCTCTTCATGATGCTTTTTTTGACCAATGCGACTTATACTCCGGAGCAACTTATACGCTGGAAAATTCAGTACTCTGTTTTTAGAAGTCAGACTTCCATTAATAGTTTTCCTCGCCTGCACAATCACTTAAGTTTTAGCTTCTGAGTCCACAAGTCTTTCACTTGAGCCTGGGAAGTCCAGTCAACCAGGCCTGGTAACAGCTTGGATGATGCCACAGAGGAGAGCCCCCCCCCCCCCCCCCCCCCCCCCCCCCATCAGACTGTAATTACAGAGCTGCTGGACACTGAGGAGCACCAACTCTAGAAAAAGAACATCCCTTCCCCTTTCATTTAGAGAAACAGTATTAACTCGCAGGACTAGTTGTCCACAGCCATCCATCTACTGGCAGCAATTCTATTTAACTTACATCTTTTTGGATAAAGCACGTATCAGAACAGTTTAACTTTTTGTTGCAAACTCTTTAAACTCGATGGCATGAAAAATCCAGTCATAAATCTGCGCCGTGATTTCATAAAGCTCATGATCAGTGTTTGTAGTAGCAGGTCCATGTGAGTCATGAACGTTTTGGTTGGGAAAAGCCTTGTTTTCTTTCCCTTCGCCTTTTCTTGGCTTCCTCCGTGATTTCTGATGACGGGGAAAATCTCAGCTAGCTAATGATCTGGACTGAACTGGTAGAAACAAATAAAGAAACGAAATAAGCGCTGCTTTCCTTGGATACCGAAATAGTGATTTTTGTCAACATAATTTTTCCTGCATTCTTCATTCCTCCCTTTTCTCAGGCTTCAGCTGAACGAAGCTTTTCTTGTCTTTAAAAACACGTGTTGGTTTGAAGCATTAATGTACAGTACACCCCTCCTACTGTAACACTGTGTGGTAATGGCTGCACCACCCAGTCTGGGGCCAGCAGAGAGGACTCTGCCAGAAGAGTCTGCTGATGTTGGTCACACGGGTGTTTAAGTGCGTGCATGCATGTATGTGCGTGTGTGTCTCACAGATTACGTGTTCATACGTTGTTTTAGACGTGCGGCTGAAACTAACAATTGGCGTTATGGTTTTAAGTCATTATCACGAGTTTGATTGCAACGCTCATAATCAGCTCTCTTGGTTACTCCAGCTGTGTTTTGTTGTGCAATGGTTGGGTTTACATTTTGATGGGAGACCATGAGGTCATTTAGTCATATTATGTGGTTTCTGATGAGCACTCATGATTGCAACTCCAGCCAATGTTAAGTGAGAGAACAGAGCTTCGGGCAGAAAACGCCCTTTTGACCAACACAATGTGGTCAGTTTGAACATCTTTAGTCCAGTCACGTAATTAAAGCTTTGGGAAGCGCTCATCCTGTTGTACTGAATGTTAAGTATATATTGTATTAGTTTTTTCTTGTTAAAAAATCACAACATTCTCAATTAATCCATTTTGTTCTATTCAGATTGCTCAATTTATTTGCTAAGTGGCTATGCGTTTGTGTCCTTAGTAACATAATTTTTGGATTATTCAGGGGGTTAGTGATATCAGGCTCAGTAGTGTGACAGTACTTTTTTAAATTTTGGTTTTCTTTAATTAAATAGTTAGCTTCCATCTTCTCTTATCCCATTTTATTTGTTTAAACAGAGCATTTCATATTTTTGGTATCTGAACTTTAATATCCATCAATCATTCACCCTTTTACCATAAAGTTATTAGAATTATCAATCCATAACTCATTTTCTAAGTTGTTTATACATATAGATATGCAAATATAGCCCCTCAAACATAAAGTAAAGCTGTTCTTCATGTTCTTTCACGTGAAATTCAGGACCATAAGAGTGACCCAGATAAACTGAGCTAAGACTAAACATCTGAGCTAACCTAACTTTCAGTATTATAACTGTTTATGTTTATGCTTGTGCATTGTCACATTCAAAATTTTTAGAACATTGATATGGACAGTAAACATGGTCCAGTTATTGATGGGGAAGTTAATTACACCTTTTTTATAATGATACTCATTACTGTGTAATATATTTTACACAAAAGCAAACAGTTGATTTGTTGAATTGGGGGAGTTGGCCAAGTATAAATTTGTCAGTGGCCAAATTTTCATGGCTAAACTTGGTCCAATCAACTGAGAATAAAAGATTTTGGTCTTTGGTTGGGTTGTGTTGGTATAAAGTGACTAGTGTCAACTACCGTATTTTCCGCCGTACTCGTCGCACCACCCTGCAAGTCACATCAGTCCAAATATGTCTAAAAAGTGTAAAAATCCATAAAAATGTCACTTTGCCGTGTACGTCTCATCTATTATGCGTCACCACTGACGCGTCGCGTTTGTTACGTGTCAGCACTGACAACCTGGAAATGTGGGCCAGTGTTGTGCCAAAAATCGATGGGCTGCCAAATGGCGGCCACACGAGTGTGCACAGGAGGACTTTAACAAGAATTTAACAAGATTAACACTTAAAAACAATTATTTGTTTGCTCGAAATTATAGTAAAGGTGTGTCTCAGTCGAACTTTTGCTTAATAAATGCACTTTGACCGTCAAATCAGCTGCATTTGAAAAGTATTCGCTGCCTCGGTGCTCCAGGAGCACGCAGAGAGAGGAAAAAATGGAAGGAGGAACGCTGCTCGTTTCTTCGAAATTTAACAAGAAAAGCACCTAAAACAATTATCTGTTTACTCTAAATTATAGCAAATGTGTGTCTCAGTTGAACTTTTACTTAATAAATGCACATTAATGGTCAAATTAGGTGCATTTCGCCAGGTCAGTGCAGCTGGTTTGACGGTTGCTCAAGCAGCGAGCAGAACGAAGGTGGGGAGACTGTGGCAAGCTGATTGTGTCATTAATAGCTGGTGAAGATTCTCAGTCATCCAGGACATGGTAAATTCAAAAAAGTTCAAGACGAAAACAAGAAAGTATAAATCTAAAAAAGTTCAATCTGGTCCTCTGGACATTCAAAAAACAAAACAAAACAAAGCTTTGTTTTGTTTTTTTGAATGTCCAGAGGACCAGATTTAACTTTTTTAGATTTTTCTACCTGGATTATTGAGCATGCATCAGGATAAGAAAGTATAAAGTATAATAAATAAAGTCCAGTTGTTTTTGTCTTGAACTTTTTTGAATTTGTTATTATAGCCACGTTTACGTATTACATGATACAACGGCATGCCTTACTGCTACTACTACTCTGCTGCCGTTTAGTCTGAAAGTGGTACTGTTCAATTTTTTTTTCAGTCCGAATGAATGAAAATGGTCATATCTCAGCCAAAAATGAGTTTATAAATATGGGAAAAAATCCATAAATACGTTACGTCGGCCTATAAGTCACAGGGCATGTAAATTATGCAACAAAAAAAAAAAAAAGAAGTGACTTATAGGTCGAAAAATACGGTAATAGTGCTCCTTAGACAGACAAAAAGCACATTTTTTGACACATTTGTGATCTGATCAGATACAACTGCTACCATAGTGCACATTAATAAATACATGAATACTGGTTGTAACTTTGTGGTGTCAGAATATGATACACATCTTGCTGTGTTAAAGCTGACCTGTTAGTTGACATCTGAATATGGTCCTCTGGAAACCAATGGCCCCATTCAAAGG